TCACCATCACCACCATCACCATCATTGTCACCATCACTGCCACCACCATCACCACCATGACCACCACCACCACCACCATCATCATCATCATCACCACCATCATCATCACCACCAGCATCATCACCACCACCATCATCATCATCATCACCACCATCTTCATCATCATTTTATAAGATTTCAGTTAAGCCATGGCTAATCTCTTTGGTACTCCCCCTGCCGAATTTAAAAATATATATTAGGTGTACATATATACCTTCTCCCCTTCCCTGCCTTTCCTTTTCTCAGAGGGTTCTACGTGACCCTGAGCAAACCAGTCTCTAGACCTTTACTGCAGGGAGCTAGTGAGCCCGCTGGGAAGGACAGGCTCTGGGAGGGGGCTGAATGGACCTGCCTCCAACAGCCTGTGCAGAAACCAGGGCAAGTGGGTGAGGTAGATGAAAATGCTGAATGCCCTCTTAAAAATCACACCTCCTCCGTTTCTGTGCGGGTGAGCAGGCGAGCAGCACGCTTGGGAGCTTGTCAGGTCACCATGGCCCTGGCGCCTCCGACGGACATGGTAGTCTGCAGCTGTCTTCTACCTGCTCCCCACTTTGCTCTCTGAGTTTGGGCTCTTTTAGACAGTGTGGCTTTAGGATGACACTTAGAATAAAGGAAGGACAGGTGTAGTTGAGAAGGGAGTTTGTAGGGGTGTTTCCATGTGACCCAGCCTGTCAAACAGTGACAGTTCCTTGCCTTGTGCTTTGAACACTTTGTTCATGCCTTTTTCTTCTTGCCTGGCCGTTCACCTCCTCAGTTACTGTGTGTGTGGGCCGCGGGGAGCCTGGGCTGGGCTGGGGCTACCCTGAGGACTCACTGTGGAGGCGGGAGGCGGGTGTGTAGACTTGTTTCCTGTCACTCTGTAGCAAAGTACTGCAAAGTTGGTGGCTTAAACTAACAAATTCACTCTCCGTTCTGGAGGCCAGATGCCTGATAGGTCTCACTGGGTTGAAATCAAGGTTTTGTCAGGGCCCATTCCTTCTGGAGGCTCTGGGGGAGAGTCTGCCCCTGCTTCTTCAGACCCTCTGCTCTGTCTCCATGTCTCCTTCTCTGTGTGTCTGATCTCCTGCCTTCCTTTTATAAGGACACATGTGATTGCATTTAGGGCAGTAATAGGGGATAATATCCCCACCTCAAGAAGCTTAACTTAATTACATCTGCAAAGACACCCCCTCCACATTTTTGCCATATAAGGTGACATTGACAGGTCCCAGGAATTAGGACATAGATGTAGTTTGGGGGACCATTTTTCAGTCCACCACTAGGGCCATGAACCAAGGGATATTAGGAAGGGCAAGAAAACAGATTACCCTCAGAACCTCCGGAAGGAACACGGCTCTGCTGACACTTTTGATTTTAGCCCAGTGAGACCCGTGTCAGACTTCTGACCTCCAGGACTCTAAGAGAATAAATGTTTGTAGTTTTAAGCCATGAAGTCTGTGGCATTTTGTTATAGCAGGCCTGGGAAACAGACCCCTAAGCCCAGGTTTGGGGGTTGGACACAAGGATCCAGGAGTAGAGTGCTGGGTGGCATGTTTATTGGAGGCAGAGGCCCAGTTGGGAGCTTTTTCCACCCTCTCTGTGGCCTCACTGTTTCTCAGGAGAGATACACCTGCCCCAGTCTCACCTTGCACCCCCGGGAGCCTGTGTTCCTGGCGCAGACCAATGGCAACTACCTGGCTCTCTTTTCCGCTGTGTGGCCCTACCGGATGAGCAGGAGGCGGCGCTACGAAGGGCACAAGGTACTGTGTTCCTGTCCCCCAGGTCGAGAGTGGAGCCCTGGCCCCAGAGCCGCCTGCCAGACAACATCAGCAGTGGACTTGGGGCCCCAGAGTGCACAGACCCTCTTTCTGGGTAGATTCCGTTTTCTGTTTCCCAGGTGACCACATACCATGTGGCCTGGTGTTCACTGACGGCCCTTGGCCACATCTGGTTCTATCTCCAGGCCTCAGGTGCTGGGCAGGAAAGGTTTTCCCTGACTTAATGGCTCACATGGACAGGTCATGGGGGTGGGGGAGGGAAGACAGGACAGAACAGGGGTGGGGGCCATTTCTGCATCTGTCCCCTTTCCCCACTGAGGCCTGCCTCACTGGGGCAGAAGGGGCCAGGGACTCAGTGGCTGTTGGTGAGGCCAGACACAGTCAGCTATGCAAAAGCTGTTCCAGCTGCATTCCACTAAACTGGCTTCGTGAAACAGGATCCATGCTGGGACCCCAGGCTTATGGGGGGAGCTCGGGCCTTGGCTTTGGGGATGCTGGGTGGCTAGCCCTGAGCCTCAGGCTGCTCCTCTGTAGGATGGGTGTAATAGCCCCCCTCACGGGCTGCCTGGAGGAGCTGCTGTTGTGTGGCCTGCTCACCCTCTGTGTTGCCCTCTGCAGGTAGAAGGCTACTCGGTGGGCTGCGAGTGCTCCCCAGACGGTGACCTGCTGGTGACGGGCAGTGCCGACGGCCGGGTCCTGCTGTACAGCTTCCGCACTGCCAGCCGGGCGCGCACGCTGCAAGGGCATGCCCAGGCTTGCGTGGGCACCACCTTCCACCCTGTGCTGCCCTCTGTCCTCGCCACCTGCTCCTGGGAGGGCGACATTAAGATCTGGCACTGAGCCTCCTCGTTCAGAGCCTCCGGATGCCGGCCGGCCCTGGGCTCCCATTCCTCCTTGGGGTGGGTGGGTGTGAGGAAGCACTGAGGTTGCCTCTGATCAAAGCTGGGTGGAGGCTACCTCCACCACACTCTGAGCCTCAGTTTCCACATCTGTAAAATGGGGACAGAGATCTGTTTGCCTCAGGGTTGTGAGGACCGCATTAGCGGAAGTGCCTGGCAGGTTGTTGGTGGTGCTCAATAAACATGAGTGTTTTGCTATTTCTTAGGTTATTTTAGCGACACATATGTGTTGGCAGCTTCCTTGCACCTGCCCCCTCCCAGGCCTTCTGGGGCTCCGAGACAGACCAGTGGGAGCTTGAGATGGGGCAGCCCCCCTCTGCTGATCCTGCCAATGGACCTGACTCCCGGGGCCATGAGGGGCCTGTGGGGGCTCTGGGTCTGAGAGCTGCCCTCAGGAACTCCATGTGGGAGCATGGCAGTCCCCACCAGTGTCGTAGGGCCCAGGCTGCCTCCCTTTCCCCACCAAGCATGGCCCAGGGAGTCCCACTGCCTGTAGGGTATGCGCACTGTCCCAGTGAAGAAGCGATGTGCAGAAGGCTCCTGAGGAGCCCTGAGGGGTTAGACTGGCAGGAAGACCCAGCCCCCCCGGGGTCTGGGCAGGTAGGTGAGCTCTAGCACTAAGTCTCACCAGGACCATAATTGAGGGGCCACCCCAAGAGCCCAAGGATCCACTTAGGTGAGGAACTGCAGGTACCACGGCTCAGGGCAGGGGTGTCCGTGTGGCCTTGGAAGGCTTCCTGGTGGAGGCAGACTGTGAGTTGGTGAGGAGGGCATCCCCAGCAGGGGAGTCAGTGAGGAAGCGCAGAGGACCCAAGGAGGAGGCCCATGGGCAGGGGAGCCATGGGAATAGGAGCCACGGGGTGCCCAGCTTTGCCTCTCCAGAACCTGGGTTTTAGGCCAGCTCTGCGGTGAGCATAGCTGAGACCTCGTGGGTCATCTCTCCTCTGAGCCTCAGTCTCCCCATTTGTGAGGCGGTGTCAGGACCCTCAGCCTGCGGGCTTGCTGTGTGGCTCCAAGGAGGTCGAGTCTGTGGGAGGTGTCGGCACGCCAGGGGTTCCATTCCTGGGAAGGGCATCTGGAGCTTGCAGAGGGTTGGTGCGTAAATGCGTTTATTTCAGTATGTCTGACTTACTCAGGGGTTCATGGGTCAGGCGTTCCGGGCAGAGGGAAGGGCAGTGCAAAGGCCCTGAGGTGGGGCTTATCCTAAGGGCCTACTCCTTTTCTAGCCTTCATCCCTGCCCCCACACCCCGCCCCACCATCAGTGCGGAGCCTGGCAGGCAGTGGGTGTTGAGTGGATACAGCCCCTGCTGTGCCTGAACTGGGGTGGGGAGACTGGAGCTGAGCACGTGGGTGGGGTGGGGGAGCACGTGCTCTTCAGACTGGTGAGAGATGTGAACCCCCAGGCTCATGCAGGACACAGGGTCCCAGTGACTCTGTCTGCTGCCAGGCTGGGTGTTGGCAGAGCTCAGGTTGGGAGCACTTTCTCTTTTTAGTCTCAAGAATGGCAGATTTGGTGAAAAGAAAGAGAATCACATCCCATGCTCCGAGGGCCTGGTCCCCTATGGAGGTGGAGACCCCCATGAGGCACTGCCCCCGGCAGAGCGGCCAAGGAGCAGATTCGGAACGTGGTGCAGGTGATGGGCACTCCTCCCTCACCCCTCACGGGGCTGCCCTGCTGAGCCTCTCGCCCACACTCTTTCTCACCCCCCACCCTCTAAATGAGTTCCCCTGCTCTGTGTGGGAAGCTCAGTGATCTTAGGAGCCTGCTCTCAGGTCATTTTCTCTGTGAAATGGAGCCTTCCCATATCACCCGTATCCCTGATAGGCTAATGGCTCCCCCCCCTCCTCACCCCCCACCTTGCTCCCATGGCATGGTGCCTCAGGGCCTTTGCTCCTGCCGTCCCCTCCACTGGGTCGTGATTTCCCCCAGTGCCCCCTGGCTCCCTGCCTGTCTCATGGGATGTGCAGATAGACCTTCAGGGAGCCTCCCCTGATCTCTGTGCCTAACACGCTCTCGTCATTCTCGGTCTTTTTACCTAAAGTGCTTAGCTCTGCCTGAGGTTGTCCCCCCTCCCCGATACACAGGTGTGTGCATGGAGTGTGAGCTTCCCAGGATTCCAGGTGTCTGTTCCCTGCTGTACGCCTGGCCCCTGGCCCACAGTAGGCGGTTGATGAATAACTGCATGTGTGGTCCATCGGCAGGACACAGGCTCTGGGGTCAGATAGACAAACTTAAACCCTGCCGTCACCTTTCATTGTGTGACAAGTGCTGAGCCACCCAGTGCCTCGGTTTCCCCTTCTATGAAATAAGAATTGGTAATACCCAGCTTGTGAGGATGAATGAGGTTGGGTCTGTACAGCTCTTGGCAGGACCTGTATACAGTAGGCGCTCAGGAAACAGCAGCTGGGAGTATTAGTAATATTCCCACCACCAGTTGACGCAGGAGCTGAGCCAGTTTAGACCAGACGGTGCATTTTGGCCCCATTCTCAGGCCTCATAATGGCAGGCCAAGGATGGATGAGACCCTCTCTCGTCTTTTGGGCCTCGGCCTGAGCCTGGTTCACTCTCATGGCAGAAGCCCCCAGAGAGGGGCTGCGTCCTTCCTCTGTTCCAAGGGTTGACAAGTCTCGGGGAAGGACTCTGATCGACTAGCTTCTGGTGCACTCCCACTCCGGACCAGGAGTCCTTGGCCAGGCATAGCTCTCACTACATAGCTGGAGGGGAGAGTGGTGGGACCCATTACAAGTGTTTTCATAAGGGTGTGTCTCCCTAGATCCAGCCTGAACAGGCCCTCGGCACACACTTGTCGGATGAATGAGTAGTGATGTGTGAATGAATCAGGACACAGGCCAGGAGGAAGGGCTGCCCTTGCTTGCAGTGCAGGGGTCCTGGCTTTCCCAGGGCACCTCTCATCTGCCTGTCCCATCCCCACTTTCCACCGTCCAGCCCCAGATCCTAGAGTCCCGATGTCCTGCTGTCTAGCGCAGCCTGAACTGGGTGGCTTTCTGCCTTTCTTGTGTGGAGTATCTTCTGAGTGAGAATTTCAGCACATGGTTTTCTGATTGCTTTCCCCACTGTGAGCTGTTATTATTACCACTTTTTTTTTTTAAGATTTATTTATTAGAGAGAGAGAGAGCACAAGCGGGAGGGGCAGAGGGAGAGGGAGAGAATCTGAAGCAGACTCTGTGGTGAGCATGGAGCCTGATGCGGGGCTCGATCCCACGACCCTGAGATCCCGACCTGAGCTGAAACCAAGAGTCGGACACTTAACCGACTGTGCCCCCCAGGTGCCCCTATTACCACTTTTTTAATATGAGCACTGTTGACAGACTATATTCAGTCAGGCTTTGCTGTGAGTGCTGGGTGTGGCCAGAGGATGACTTCCCTGTCCAGCAGCTGCCCACCCCCTCTGCTCTGCTGAGCACACACCCTGGCTGCCTGCAACCCTGTGGGGTTTGGAGCTGGGAGGCCGGCTCAGGCCCCAAGCCCATCACTCACTTGCTTGGGATGTTGGCAGGTGCTTCGCTTCTCTGAGCCTGCTTCCTCATCTATATAGAGTGGGCCTGTGGGAACAAGCAGGGGAGAAGATGCAGAGGAAAGTGCTTGCGGATTGCTACCTTCTCAGCTCCACTCGGGGCAAACACCATCCAAGTCTCTGTCCAAAGTCTGTTTCTTTTCCACGCAGGTCACCTTGAGCCAACCAAAGCTCTGATCCTCCCGGGGCAGGGGCACATCCAGGGCTCCCCGCTCTGGCTGCTTTTTGGTGCTGTCCTCTGTGGACTTGATTCCTCAACTCCGGGCCCCGCAGGTGCCAGCACCCCCCCCTTTTGTAGGTTCTTTTATTGGGAAGAATTGCAGGCATACTCTGTGCCTTTATTGCTCTCTTTTCCCTAATGCTATCTTCCAAAGAGACTTCTTAAAGGCTCACTCTGATCTTCTGCAAGGTGTTGGGGAGTTCATCATTTGCAATCTTAAAATAGGGAGCTAAATTTAGAAAGTGTGGAGCTGGAATGAAAAGAATTGTGGGCTGTGCCTTCCACCCACCTTCCCGGGGCTGAGTGCTTACCTTTACCCTCACCTGTGACTCCGGGAGACAGATCTGAAGCCTTCATGGGAGAAGAGCGGTTTCATGTCGGGGTGCCAGTGTGTGGCTGTGTGTGCTGCCAGGCGGAACTGATGCTCGAAGCCCCCCGCTAGGTGGCCCCACCCTGCTGTCCAGTTGAGGAGACTGCTGCTTGGAAGACCGTCTGACTCTGAAGTGTGCTCTTCCCCTCTCGGAAGCTTCCTCCAGCCTCACCTGTGGCTCCCCGTGCACTGGGACAGCCAACTGTCATGGGGACCCCTGGGAATCTCATCAATGTCCCTAGGCTGCAGAAGGGGAAACTGGCCCAAGGTCACATGGCCAGGGAGTGGCAGAGCCAGTGGGGGTGGAGAAGTGTGCATGGGTTGGTAGGAGGGTGGTGGGTGCACAGATGGGGGTGGGGCAGGGGCTGGAGGAGGGAAGCCCACACTGCGGCCTGGCGGGCTGCCTGGGTAGATGGGGCTAAGAAAGTAGAGGGCAAGGCCTCACCATAGCCCGGAAATTCCCATCTAGCAGAACACCCAGCACAGATCCAGAGGGAAACTGCGGGCCCCCAGGCTGAACCCTCAGGCAGGCACATGGAAGCATAGAGCCATTCTGGAACTCCCCAGCTATCACACATCTGTGCCTTTCCATAGGCTGTTCCCTTTGCCTGAAATGCCTAATGGACTCTTACTCATCCTTCAACACCCAGCATGAGCCTCCTCCTGGAGGCTTGCTTTCTTTCCCCTGGAGCAGTAGGGACCTTTGCCTCTCTGGATGGCCCTGTGCTCTTGAAGCCTTGAGCCTAAAGTCACACCATCTGCCTCCCCCCAGCCTCTGAATTTGTTGTGGGCAGAGTAAGGATTCCATGGCCAGCACAGGGCTGGTGCCAGCCGGCCCCATTATCAGGAAGAGGAGGGAAGCACCAAGTCCCCACCCAGGGGGTTCTGAGAGAGTCACTGACCAGAGCCACCTGCACTCATGAGTCCTAGGGTCTTGTGGAGCTGGTTTTGAGCCAGGGGAATTTGGGAGAAAACCAAGTTTTTCCAGCTCAGCCCTACAAGAAGTGGTTTGGGACTGCTTTACATAGCATCCCATGCCAGCCCCCACTCAAGGTGGTGTCAGCCTGACCCTGCTATTCAAAAGTTATGTGATGGAACTCTAGACACCCACCCCCCAACTCTGTGTGGCCAGGCCAGCCCATCTTTGTAGGCTGCCTGGCTCTGTAGCCAAAGAAGTCTGAGCAGGGCCCTCTGGGAAAAAGACCCCCTCGTAGCCCTGACTGTGGCTGGTTTTGGAGGCCATGGCAGGGCAGCTCTGTGAGGTCTGGAGGCTGCCCTAGGGGGGCCGCAGGCTCTGAGGTGATGATGTGGGGGCTAAAGTCCTGAATCTGAGAGGGCCCTCATGATCCCCAACCCTGCTACCCAGGGCCTGGCCCTTCTGATTCCATCGACCCTGAGGAGCTAGAGCCAGGCAGGACTTTGATCACTTAGAGGAGGGAAAGCCAAGGCCAGGAAGAGGCACCCCCCCCCCTTCACACAGCTGATGTGTGGGGCTGACGAGGTTCGGGTTCCCCTCTGGGAACACCTCAGTGTCTGCTGGGTGCCAGGGGCCACGTGTTTCCCCCTGTGCCCTGCCAGTTGCTTCCCAGCTCATTCAGGGTCGCTTCCTGTCTGGCCCACGAGGACACTGGGCCCCCAGAGGGGAGCTGACTCCCAAGCCTCTCTCAGTTCCCTCTCCTCGAGGAGACTGCTTCCTGGGGCACATCTCCTGGGGAGGGGGGTTGGGCCGGCGCTGGGCTCTCTTGCAGAGGCAGGTCAAGTGCAGGGATGCTGGGAGCCCCTGCTGATGCCCAACCTCCTTGGGGTCCCCTGGCAAGAGGCAGACCCACCCTGGGTCTACAGGGAGCCGGGTGAGCCAGGCCACTTGAAGGCCTGCGCCCAGACCCGGCTAGTCTCCAGCAGGAAGGGCCCAGGCCCTTGGAGGGAGCAGACATAAAGCCCCGTGAGGAGTGGCCTCCACCCTAGGCCTTGCAGAGCCCCACAAGTAGATTTTCAAGGACACTGATGTGCGTGTGTCTGAGATAACCAGGCTCCTGAAGAAAGGAGGCAGCAAGAGCAGGAAACAAGAGAAACACATGAAGGAATGCCAGACCCTATCTGAACTGGCTGTGCCCATGTGTTCAGGGAAATAAAAGGCAAGCTAGAAAAGATCTCCAGGGAACAGGACACTGTTGAAGTGGCAGCGTAGGTTTGCGAGACAACCAAACAGAACATCCAGGAATGGACAAATTAATGGAAAACTACAAACCCAGTGGCTGCGTTTGGTGGCCACGTGGACAAAGCAGCGAGAACTCATGAAATGGAAGGCAAATCACATGGGCTGAGCTCAGGACATGCAGGAGGGAGGGCAGCAGGCCCAGAGGGTGCGGTGAGAGGGGCTGCCAGGGGTCTAAGGCAGTCCCAGGAAGAGAGGAAACAGAAAACTAAAAAAAGAAAGTTGAGATTTTCCAGAACTGATGAAATACACCAATCCACAGATACAAGACTCCCTTTTGAATTCCCAGGAAGGATAAATGCACAACCAGACACACCTCAGGGAAACTGCAGACAACCAGAGGGACGATCTGAAGGGGCCAGAGAGCAGAAGGGCAGATTACCATAGGAGGAACAGCTCCCCACAGACGGACGGAGGGACGGACGGGCATCCCCACACCAACAGGTGGCCAGGGACAGTGCCAACAGCATCTCCGTGTGTGTGTGTTGGGGGGCTCCCCCCCACTACCTCCCTCCCCAGTGAGAACACCCTTCACAATGGGGCCAAAGACGTTTCAGAGAAATGAGAGCTGCTCTGAAGGAAAGCCTCAGGAATCTCCAGGCAGAAGCCAAGTCTGAGAGCCGAGAAAGGGCGGCGGGCAGAAACAGGAAGGGGAGCAGAAGGCACATCCTAGAAAGGGCAAGAATGCCTAGCGGGTTGAAACAGTGGAAGTGCTTGGATGCTGCACAAGATGCTGGGGTGGGGGGGGACGGGGGGGGCGGCAGCCAGGGCCACACATCCTCGTGGTCAAAAGGCAGTGGGGAGAAGAAACAACCCGGAGCCAAGTTCTTTCCACCGATGTCTTTTATTAATGAACAGAAGTACAGTACTAACTGAGACAGGGCATGCATCGCAGACAACAGGAGAGCAAGCCACAGAAACCGGGAGTTGGAGGGCCTCAATATGTCTGAGGTAGAGCGAGGTGGTGCCGGGGAGCGGGACACTGGGGGACGAGCACCGGCCCCACTCGGGACAGTGGACCACAGGAGAGCTGGGGTGGTGTATCGGTCACACGGCGAAAACAGTTTAAAAACATTTCACATCCCTCCACCCATTCCAGTTCCCCTCTTCGTGGACAGAGTTTCGGGTTCCCTGGTCACCGGCCCACTGGGGGTGTCTCCATAGACAGCGTCCTTCCCCTCCCAGGGGCAGGCCCCACTTGTCCTCCCCTGAAAAATAAAGGAGCTTTGTTTTGAAAACGCCAAGGCTGCCATCCAGGGAGCTGGAGGCCAAGTGCGTTAAGAAAGACCCTTTTTCTCTATAAAAATAGTTTCACTTTATAAAAGGGGGGAAATGCTCATCTCAGGTGGGGAAGGATGTTGGGATGTGAAAAACGTTCCACCGTGGTGGGGCTGGGATGGACAAGATGCTGTGGGGAGGGAGGGGACCTCCTCTCAGGCTCGACTGGGTTGGGTGGCAGAGAGGGTCCTGGTTGGTGGGGGGGCGCTGGGGAGGACGGGTGTCTCGGGGAGAGGCGCGCTGTGCCCTCGGGGCCCAGGTGGGGTGGGTGGCCGCGGCCTGCAGGCAGGCGCTAGTTGAGCAAGGTTCCGTAGAGCTGGGCTTTCGTGAGGCTGTCCTTGCGGCTGAGCCCCGAGCCACCAGTCCGCGGGAAGGCTGGCTGGGGGCTGAGGCGGGCAGTGGGGTGCATCTCCGGGGAGGCCTCCATGGAGCTGGGCTCCAGGGAGTCCCTGGAACTGTGGGGGCTATGCTCCGGCTCAGGGCTGCCGCCTGCCCCGCACAGCTGCACCCCAAGCCTCTCCGCGTCCCCCTGGCTGGGCGCGTAGCCGGGCAGTGGGTCAGCCGCGCGGCTGGGGCTCAGACTCAGGTCGCCGCTGGCCCGGAGGAAGTGGGGCTCTGCCAGGTGGCCCTGGGAGAGGTCGTCACCCTCCGAGAAGCTGTCGGCCTTGTAGGTGGCATAGAGGGGGCTGGCGCGACCCTCGGCCTTCTTGCCCGGGCTGCCCCCGCTGCCGTAGTAGCGTTCCGAGAAGCTGCAGGGTGAGGCGCGGCCGGCGGTGGTGGCCGGGTAGGAGTAGGCGCCAATGTCCTCCACGCTCAGGGGCCGCCACTGGCCCCGCACGTCCTCCCCAGGGAGCCGGGCCGTCCCCGGCTTGGCCCGCAGGCTCCACAGGTTTGGGGGCATCAGGGCCTGCTGGGGGCCCGGGGAAGCCGGGAAGCGGAAGGGCTCGGCGGGGTACGGAGACATGGTCCGCGCAAACCCCGGGGCCACCTCGGCCTCGAGCGGCGCTGCCACGCTGGCCGTGGCCTTGGCAAAGCGCGGGCTGCCCTCATAGGCAGCGGCGGGTGGCTTGCGGTCGAAGAGCTCGTCACGGCTGTTCAGGTAGATGGCCTGCTGCGAGGCAGTGAGCGTGCTGGCCTGGGCGTGCTCCTTCTCCTCTGACGTGGCGCTGAAGCTGGAGTAAGAGCTGGACGTGGGCAGCGAGCCCGCATAGCCTGGGAAGGCCTCATGCTGGAAGCCTGCGGGGAAGGCGGCCGCCTCGGCCTCCTCCTCCTCCTCGGCCGCGCTGTCGGTGGAGTTGTGAGCCCGCAGGAAACCCACGTCGGTCACGGGCGCGTCCACGCTGGGCCGCCGGGTGCGCCGCCGCTCCTCGGGGCAGTAGAGGGCCGTGTCGCTGCAGTAGATGTCCCCCTTGTAGGGGGGCCGTGGGCCCTGCTTCTCCATCCCATCCCGGAAGGCCAGGTCGCGGGCTGAGGCATCAGACAGGCGGGAGGACAGGCTGTTGGGGTCAGGCTTCTCCAGCACCTTGGCAATGACGCAGGTGGGGACGCTGTCGGCATAGGCCGGACGGCAGAGCGGGGAGGGCAGGCTGCAGCCGTGCTTCTCCATGTGCAGGCTCACGCGCTCCTGGAAGTCGGAGGGC